ACTATGTTTCTCAGCCTGGGAACACCTTGGGATTCCCCCAGAGGAGCTGGTCCAAGTGTCTGGAGAGAGGGAGGTCTGGGTCTCTGCTGAGGCTGCTGCCCCCGAGACCTGACCCCGGGTAAGAGGAAGAAAACAGACAGACGGACGGAAGGACGCAAAGGCTGTGTGCGCCACGCACCATCGCACACCTTTCAAACAGCCTGTTTGTTCATCAGGCTTTTGCTCTCTTATTTACAACATTTCAAAAGTTATAAAGTGCACTTCCACGTGTCTTTTTGGAGAAACCTACAACAATGTGAGTGCCAAGTATAAACACCTTGGCCGCTGGCGAGGGTGTGCGTGCACTCCACGACTACCCAGAGCGCGACTATAACCGAGCCTTTATGAGGCCCCTGCTCTTATGGGTTCTTTACTCATCCCCACTCAMCATAAACCATAAACTATAAACCATGATACAGTAAAAAGTTACAGGTAGTCAAGGAAATCTGAATCATAAAACAAAGACCTCTCCAGAGGTTCTGGACCCAGGAGGACTGGGAAAGTGACAGTACCTCTCTATGAAGCCCACTGCCTCCCGAGTCATTGTCTGCGTCAGGTTTTCAGCGATGAACGGCTGCTCCACAATACTGTGATCCCTGAAGAGAATGCAGTTGAAGTATGGMACCATCCTGATGAATCCAGCTGTTAGCGCTGTGGCTAGCACCAGCAGGGACAGCAGGCTCAGGATCTGCCTCCTGCTGACAGTGATGACCCTGCTGTAGTGAAGARCTACCACTGTGAGCAAGACCAGTCCAAAGGTCCTGTACGGTAAATATTTCTGGAACTGGAAAACAGTGCCGTGTCCAGGTTGGCAGTCCCGCAGGTTGGTCAAAGGGATGCCAAAGAAGTAATTAAACCCATGAACGCTGGGGTGGTGGCAGTGGTCATCATGGCTCCTACAGTTGAGACCAAGGTGCCATTTTCCTGGAGACAAGAAGAGAGAAATAAAGAGATAACATCAAGGAATCTGTTAGCTAGCTCAGTGGAGGCTGCAGTTATTAAAAGGCCAGATAAAAGCTAAAACTAACAAAAACACTGAACTATTACATGTAGCAAAGAAAGCTAAATGTATTGAAACGCTAGTGGAAAGTAGAAAAAGTCCAGCTGGAAACTGAAAGTGGAAAACAACTAGCTAAAAGCAAAAGGCTAGCTATAGAAGCTAATGTAAAAAGGACGTGCTAAATGGAACAAGAGACGAGTCAAGAGCTAAAAGTAGCAAAACACTGACTTAAATCTAAAAGAAAGCCGATGACCAACTAAATCACAAAGGTAGCTTAAACATGAAACTAGCTAAAAGCAAAAGGCTAGCTAGAAGCTAATGTAAAAAGGACTTGCTAAATGGAACAAGAGACTAGTCCAGAGCTAAAAGCAACAAAACACTGACTTAAATCTAAAAGAAAGCAGATGGCCAACTAAATCACAAAGGTAGCAAAAAAGTAGCTTAAACATGAAACTAGCTAAAAGCTAATGGAAAGTTAAAAGTAAGAAAGATTGGCTTAAAGCTAAAAGTAGCTAAAATTTAGCTTTAAACTAAAAGCAGCAAAAGGCTAGGTAAAAGTTAGAAGTAGCAGAATAGCAACTAAAAGCTAACCGTAGAGCGACACAGAGCCAATTCACTGAAGCAGATTTTAAAGAGAACAATGTTTTTGAA